CTGAATCGCTGGCCGTCTCAGTGATCCGCCGTAAACAGTGATTCTGTCCTAATTCCCTTACATATTAATGGTGGAGTTCCCTTTAAAATCTGAAATGATTCCCTTTGAGCTAAATTATTGACCTGTTTCCCTTACAATATATACATAAAATTATAGATTTTTCTTTTATGCCAAAAATCATTAGGAAATCTCCTACCGTAAATATATCAAAACTTAATGTTTGATTAGTAATATGCATTGCTAAGAACTTCATTTGAACAACTTTAAAGATGATTTTCTCAATATTTAGATTTTTTTGCACCCTCAGATTCCAGATTTTCAAATATTGTCCGATCCTAACAAACCATACATCAATGGAGAGCTTATTTATTCAGCTTTCAGATGATGCATAACTCTCAATTTCACAAAATTTACCCTTATGACTGGTTTTGTGCTCCAGGGTCACATATGCATGTGTATATACATATATATTTTACCTTTTCAAATTTGCTGTCAAAAATGTAGTTTAGTTTTTTTTATTTATATGTATGTATTGCAACTTATTTATAGTGCAACTTGCTTGTAAAGTGTATTATTATTATTATTATTTGCAATATATTTTAAACATTAGATGTGATGCTTTATTATTTCAGCTCTGCTATAAGTTCTCTTTCTCCTGTCAGAGGCTGGAGATGAATGTAGCTGATTCTGGGGAGGCCATGGCCTGTTAAAGCTACTATTAAATAAAAACTGAAGTATAAACCACTGAAAGTAAGGATGGGTTCGGGCACCTTTGAGGGCGAGGACTCGGCGGGGGCGGATTCGGGCCGGCGGCGCGGCGGGATGGGCGGAGGAACGGGAGGCTCGTCGTTCTGCAGGAAACTCATCATCGATGACACTGAAGAAGATCCTGAGACACACACACACACACGCTGATGACATCACTGCAGCCATGACGCAGGACACAGAGGATGCTGGGAAACACGTCACATGATCAACACCGGCCTGAACATGCACGAGCGGTCTGTGATTTCGGCTGTAACACACAGTAAGACACACGGCACAGACGCGTGATGAAGAGCGAGAGTCGCTGTCTGTCAGGAAGCAGAGAGAAACACAAGAGAAGGTGACGGACTGATCCAGGATGAGTGTTAGGGAGGTTAGGCTTTACTGGAGGAACTCATGTGAATGATGCTAACAGAACTGAATCTGGGACACATTAATACTGACTCAACCAATGGAGAGAGTTTAGGGCGGGACTATCTGTGTGACCAAACAATGGCAGACGGGGAGGGTCTGAAACAGTCATTTTCACTATTATAATTAATTCAGAAATGATATACTGCTATCCAAACTAACATCTGGTGTTAAGGATTTAATAATAATAATAATAATCTA